TATATATTCCTTTTTTTTTAATTTTATGCAATTACAGAATATTTTGTCTAAAGCTTCAGAAATGTTGAATGATGGCTCTGATGTTTTACAAAAGCAGCTACAGGATCTATCAGCATCAATTCAAGCAAACAAACAAAAACCTTAGTTCTAAATTTGATCAAATAAAAGAAGAAATGGAATAAATAATTAAGCAATAAAAGCCTTTTACATATTGAATAAGTCTATTATTTTTCATCACTTCTTAATGAAAGATATCACCATTTAATTTACATATACACATATATCAAGGTAATATTTATAAATTAAAGTAGTTTGATTCAGAATGAGTTTTATCTATTAGATTTTGTTGTTAAAATAAAGAAAATTTTAATTAATTACATCTTTATATAATTTTATAAAGTTTATATAATTTCATATTTCGATTGCTTAATGTCATTTCACACTCTTGCAATTTTTTTGCTAATGATTTACTAATCTATTCATCTCTAACCACTTCCATTGCACATGTGAGATTTAAGATGTGATGTATTGTCCTTTGTTCCTCAGCTTCTACCTCAGTGCTACCTCAATGTGGTGGTAGAAATCAGTTTCTAGCGTAATTGAATGTTAATGTTGGACAAAGAATTAATAAAAAATATATCGTTTGCTTCTAGTGCGGAACCATTTGAGCACATTTAAGTCTATTAGTTCCAAAGAATGCAGAGATAATTTAACTTAATCGACACATAATACTGGGTCCTATTTAAAGAATGGAATGCAATTATCATTTTCCTCGATTAAAGCCGAATGCTACTCCGCAAACGATTTGCGCAGATAACTTGCATTTTGGTTAACTCCTTTCAAAACCAAATTTTCTGTTGAAATTTTCTGCAGAGAAGGCGCCCCACTTAATATAACTTAAAACCATATGCCTCCCCGCTATTAGCAGCGCTTTAAAATACAATTTGGATTTTATTTGAGTTTTTTTGATTTTGTGAGTCAAAACTTTTGAAGTACACGTACTTCACTGAAGTAAACAGTGAGAGCACTTCTGCCTCGCCGATAACGATTATGATTGTAGCAAAGGAAAAATAGTGGAGCAAAGGGATCCCGTGAGCAGGAGCAGGATATGCCGCAACCTTGTGTGCTGTTTTTAGTTATTCTTAATAATTATTTTGGTTTTTATAGATTTTAATTGCTAATTGGAAATTGTATTGCCGGGCACAACTGAAAACTTTTCAACAAGCCGAAAAAGCCGCGCGTGAAAATCGCTAAAAAACCTTTGGCAGGTGGGTATGGTAGGAGGAGGAGGGGGATGAAATGAAGCAATTTTTTGGGAATTTTAAAAGTTTGGAGTTTTCTATGGTTTAAACGATTTTTAGTTGATTTAACAGATTACGACTCAACATCTTTTAATGAATTAGTTTCTATTCAGCCGTTGCAACTGGTCTCAAGGTGTTGTGTATCTAGTCTAGCTAGATATATTAACATAAATATTATGTAACTTTACAAACCATTTTTGGTGGTGTGTAATGTAATGTAAAATAAGGTTAATGTTAAAGTCAATTCTGCAAATTACGCAGAAACGTTGTTGCAAAATATTATTGAGTTCATCCACTGAATTTAATATTTATTTTATGCAGAATTGCAAGTACCAAATATTGTCAGCGAAATGGCAGAAAATCAATGGAAATTTCCGAACACGCATTACGCACATGATCAATGTTTTCACTGTTCCCAAAGGTGAAAACATGGGTGGGAGTTTCCGAACCAATCAGTTGTCAGTAGTGAGTTGCAAGTTGAAAGTCGAGTTGCGTGTGCATTCTGTCTCGTGATTGGTGTTCAGAAAGTCCGAAAATTGACGTGCAAGTATATTCACGGTTGTCAGAAGAAATTTATTTATTAAAGAAAGTACATTTAATTCCTTACTTTAATTATACGGTATCAGAAGGATAAAGTTTTTAAAAATAATAAAAAAGGACAACAGTGTTTAAAGCATACTTGTATTCGAGTATCTGTAATCGAGTTACATTATTAAGAATTGTTGAAATTACAAGTATAAATAATAAGAAATATATGAATAAAAAGTGAAGTTGAAACAGCAACAACATCATCAATAGCGACAGCAACAACAGCAGCAGTAGCAACTGTAGGATCCAAAACAGCAACAAATAAGTCGGCATCAGACACATCAAAAGCGGCGATACCAGCTGTTCCAACAGTTTAGTTAATAAAGATTGATGTGCCAAAATTAAAAGTGCATATTTATTTTTGTTGGATGGACTGTTAGGAAAACCATTGACATAATTGGTTTGACGCAGCCGGTTCCTACTTACGTATACACGACATAAGTGTTTAATTAGTGACATAAGTGTTTAATTATGTCACTGTTGTTGTTGCTTTGGTTGTTGTTCAAAGAAATTAGTAACTTGCGATACATTACACTAAAAATAACACGTAACAACAGCAAGAACAATTGCCGTAAACGCTTCTCATAATAATTTAAGTAGTATTAAATTCACCATTCCAAAAGTTATCAAAAAGATCTTAAATGAAATCTTATTTGCTATTTAATCCTTCAGTTAAAGTTTAATCCTTGGTATTAGAGCGAAAAAATGCAATTGAAAGTTTTCGTCCGTTTTTATGTCTTTCAAGTTGAATTTTTTCCCGGCTTCAATTTTCTTTTTCCAATTTTTTTGTTCACTGCTTTTACCTTTGCATTAAGTGGCACAGTTTCGTAAGTGTCGCAGCTATAAACTTTGTCATTAAAAAGTTTCAAATTCCTTACAGGTCTCTCCTATGCTAACTTTTGTCTTATCCTGTCTTGTTAAGTGTGGAAATTTACTTGTGAAACACTCAACATGCAACTTAGTGTAGTCGTGGTTGGTGAGGTCTGGTCGACCTTACTTGCCTTGCTGGAGGTGTAATGAGTAGAAAGTAGAGAGTAGGAGTATAGAAGTATATGTCATTTAAGTTTGCGTACAAAATAAAAAGCAGAAATTGACAAAAGTTTACCAACATATCCTAGGCAGTAAAATTGCAATCAAAAAACAATAAAAGAAAGTCTTTCTTGTGTTTGTACTTGTAGTTGCTTCGTTGTCTTCCCTTTTTCCAATATTTTTTTTTAATTTAATGGGTTTTTTTAGATGAATTTAAAAGCAAGAATGTGTCCAAAAAAAGCAATAAATAGAAATATGCAATTTCGTTAGATTAAAAGAATGAGCACAGTTCATATGACTTTATACTCACACTTCAACTGAAGTGGACTTGACACATAAAACACTTAAAGCGCCCTTTACACACCATCGATTGCTGTCAGCAATCGATGTCGTCGCTTGCTATTACACATCAAACTTGTCCACATTATTTTAAACGCGCCCCAGAAAATAACAACAATTATACTATAAAATTAAAGCATGCGTGCATTTAAACGATGCTTACGCGATGTTTCATCTTCAGGCGCCTTAAGATATGTGAAAGTAATATCACTTAAAATAGTGCAAGTTTATGGTTATAATTACAATAATTAAATAATTTAATAATTTAAAAAAATAAATAGTTCAGTTATACAAAAATAATTTATTATTTATTTTAAATTTATAGAAATAAAAAAAATTTATCTAAGGTGGAATTTATTCTACGCTAAAAATATTGTTACATATTATTTATTTAATTTAAGTTCTTAAATTCAACTTTTACGCATTTAAAGTATATTATATATAATAAGACCAAATGCTTGGTACTAACATTGTTTATTTAATAATAATGCAATTTATAAAGTGTTGTGCACTTCGTGATTCAGTTTTTATTTATAGACTTCTGCATTTGCAGGTCAAATTGTCACAAATAGAAGTAATCATCAAGCCTTGCAAAACCATAATAAGTTTTAGGCTTATTATCTTATTAATCAGCTTGCTGCTGGTGAATTCAAGACTTTTGTCTTACTCAATCACAACAATTTCATCAAAGAAGGAAATACACAGTCTTCACGTTATAAACTATATTCTATACCTTATTCATTTCATTCTTTATTTTTTTTTTTTACTTTATGCATATCATCTACTAACTATTGAGGTAGTCATTATTGGGACTTGTGCATAGTCATTATTGGAACATAGCTATATTAGCAAAGAATAGCTTTCCAAAAATAATATCCTTAAATCTTCAAAGACAATCAGTCAACCTTTCATATTCAAATAATAGTAATATCAAAATTATAAATCCTACTGAGATTTTATCCAAAAATTTTAAAAGTCGTTGTGAACGGCATTTGTTAAACCACAGATACTCAAATTGAGACCTCATGTTTCAAGTTTTAAATTAAAACTCAAAAAATAATAATTAAATTTGCTACATTACATTTATTAAAAATAATTATTATTATTTGCCTTTGCCTCTTATATTTCCACGCACAAATAACTCTTACATTCTACTTTTAATTTTAAAATGCACAAATAATTGCCAGATATTTTTATAAACGAAAATTTAAAATGCATTTTGCATGTAAGGTAATTGTTTTTGTAATTTCATACAAACAGTGAAAAAAATTGGCGCAGGTAAAGAGGTACTTTCGGTTATGGTTTCTATATTGTTTTTTTGTACAAAAACAAAATAAAACTAGAAGACAAAAAATGTTTATGGGAATATATTTTAGGTTAAGTTGAAAAGACTGTCGCGAATAAATGCGGTCTTTATGTAGAATGTACCAGAATTTTGAGGCAACTGCAATAGTTAAGGCGACTGTTCATGAGTGCTTTTGGGTTATTATCTACCCGAGACATAAAACCGCTAAAACCGTACTTCGAGGATATATTATAAACCTTCGCATGAACCATATATGTATACTATATTATATTATTAGTATATATTAGATTAGTAGTGATTTATTTCGGTAAACTATTACAGTCCCGACTTACACACGGTGTTTAATATATTTCGTTTTATTTTTTAATATAAATACACATAATTTAATAGTAGTAGTAAAATTGAATTCATAAAACACTTCTAATAGATAAAATATTTTTGCAATTTTTTATCAATTTATACTTGAATTAAAATTTTGAGTGATTGCTTCTAACATCTAAAACAACATATGTTTACTTCAAAAAGCCTTGGTATTTAGTTAAGCTTTTATATTCCAGCATAATATCGCCATCAAGGCACAATATAAAAGACTTGACATTTGTGCTTTGATCCTCTTGGGTAAGCGCACAACTGTTGATTTCATACTGCAAAATAATTTCAGCTAAAGCAATTTTTGCAGTCATCAAAGCCAAGCGAGCACCTGCACATCGCATTTACATCATAAGGAAAAATTCGTTTCACTTTATGAAAATTGAACGCTTGGAGATAAAACTTACCAATGCAAATGCGTGGTCCATCACTAAAGGGCAAGTATATACCCCGCTTTGTCAATTCGAGGTGAGCGCCATTATCAAAGCGTTCCGGTACGTATTCGTTTGGTTGTGGAAAATAATCCTTATCGTGATGTAATGAATACACTGGCACTGTCACAACCATACCCTTAGGAATGTCGACGCTTTGCTCCGGTGAAAGCTGTAATGTGGTGTCTTCTGTGCAGATGCGTGGTATATTTGGCAGTAAAGTGACTAATCGCAAGGTCTCTAAACAAAAATATAATGTTATTAGTAAAATCCCAAAGTAAGAAAACAAAAACCAAGCACTGAACTTGATGCAATGTCCCTGTAGCTCTGCACTGACACTTACCATGTACACACTGATCCAAGTACGGCAAATTCATAAGCTCCTCATAGGAGAACCCAACTTTAGTATTGTACATGTTCGTCATTAACTCATCGCGTAATTTTTGTTGCACTTTCGGGTATTTCGCCAGCTAAAATTAGTTTCGTGTGCATAAATAAAATAAATTAAAATTCTTAACGAATTTCACTCTATTATCTTTTGTTTGCCAAAACTCAACTTACATAATATAATGTGTGCATGAGAGCAATCGCTACAGTTTCATAGCCATCTAGCAGCATTGTCAGCGAATGTCCGACCATATCGTCGTGGCTAATGCCTTTGCGTTCCTGCAGCTGCAGCATGTAATTAAGAAAATCTGGCCGCTCAGTGTTTGCTGGTTGCTGTTGTCGAATTTGCACTGCATCTCGTGTTAGCTTTGAAAAAAAATCATCCGTTTCCTTTGGGAAGAGCGTAAATGGCCATATTACACGCACTACGGGTGTTACGGTCGCCATTAATGAGTAGACACGTGTTTTGTAGGTGTACATAATCCATTTATCTGTCATTCCCACAACATGGCTGACTTCGGTCGGATTGGTCAGTGTGCCGACATCAATTCCCCAAATGTAGTTACACATAACATCGGCCGTAAAACGAAAACAAAGCTGCAATCATAATGTACGTTAAAGGACAATATTGGAACACAGAAAAGCTGTACTTCTAAATTTGTGAATTTATAGAAGGCAACTCTAGATTGCTTTAACCTAAAAAGAAATGTTGAAACGCCTCAAATAAAAGACATGAAGTCTAGAAACGTATTGCACTTCCTCTTAGAAAAGATTTAGCTTTGAGCACAAAATTTAATTGGTAGTGGATAGAAATGCTATACATTGAAGTTGTGTTCCTTAACAAAATATTTAGAAATTTAATAACTCAATAAAGATATATAGCACCAGAAATTAAAAGTTTAAAAAGTTTTGTTCTTTTCTAATTTTATAAACTCATTATATATTCACTTAGCAATAAAGTAAAGTTTCAAACATCTTAAGTCATAAAAGTAAATAGTTTATAAAAAACTTATGTCTTTAAAATGAATATACTTGTACTTACATCTCTGGTTTCAATGATATTTGTGCCTGAGTTACCCACTTTATCCTCCATCACTTTTAAAAGTTTTTTGCAACTGCTTTGCCATATTGTATACGATTGTTTTAACTAAAAAATTATAAAGGAGTTTTAAATTATTTATTTTCATGATAATAAAAAAGACAAAGTGAAAAAACTTATAATAATAGTCTTGTCTTAGCATTTTGCTTTCATTGGAAGGTATTTCAGTTCAATATTTCATATGAAGATATTAATCCAAAGCATATACATTCCACTAACACTCACTATCGATTACATATATATAATAAGATTTTAAGAATTCCGATGAAAATACTTATTTTTAATCAATATTTTGCACTGATCAAAACACCTCTATATCTAACTCAAGTAGTATTAAACTTAAAATTTCTTCCTATAATATAATATTCTACTAATATAGATTTTACTTTCATTTAAAACCAATATTAATTAAAATTATATTTAAAAAAATAAATCTTATTTAAAAAACGAATTATACTTTGCTTTGCGTAATGCCTCCCATTGCATCAGTTCGAAGGTTCTTCCAATTATCTCCAACGCACCAAAAAGGATTTCGAGTTGCATATTTATCTGCTTGGTGATTATTTATCTAAAAAAAAAATATCGCGTTCCATTAATTGTGTCTTTTGCTATCATCGAAAAATAACTTAATTTTTATATTCGCAGATATTTTTAATTGCTTTATGAATATAATAGATTTTTCAATTTCTGATATCTGACTGATGCAAAGCATAAGTACTTTTATAAAAGTAAGCTCAAATCACTCTGATTATTTTAGAATCATACAAAGCATCAGACAAGATGGAGCCTTGTGCTGTGATCGCTTTAATTTCTTTGTAGAACTGATCATGTGCCACACTCATGAACAGCGACTTCATTATCATTAGATGTAAACTTTATTGCCCTCGTTAAATACCTTCTACTCAAAAAGTATCCGGATTTTGTTGTTTGTTAACTACTCCTTAAGTAATAGAACTTTTTCAAACTTTTTCATCGCTCGGGCACCATATTCGCCAGATCTGGATCCGTGCGACTTTTTTCTGTTTCTGAAACTCATATTGTCCCGTGGTAAGCGTTTTGAGTCGATTGGATCGGTAAAAGAGAATTCGCTGAAGGAACTAAAAGCCATACCTTCACGGGCCTACGAAAAGTGTGTGGAAGATTGGGTTAAGCGTTGGCATATGTGTATCGCTTCAGAAGGAGCATATTTTAAAGGAGATAAAATAAATTTGGAATAAAATTTAAATTTGTGTGTTTTATTTACAAAATCCGAGTACTTTTTGAGCAGATGATAATTGACAAAACTAAACTTAAGGTGAATGCAAAACAGAATATAAACTGACTGCTATCAGAAGTCTAATCGGAATGACTATACGTAATCGCTCATTTATTAATTATCTATCAATCGATATTATGGCTCAGAGATCAACAGGTCTAAATCAATCAACATGCGTTAATGAAGTAGATGTGACTACGATATAACCGGAAAAATTACTTAGAGCTTTTAACAAACATTTCCATTATTGTAAAAGAATAATCTTCTCTCACAAAATTCAAAAGAATAAGGAAATGTAGAAAGATCATTAGATTGAAGAACTTCGATTACTCAATATGTTTATATGCCAATAGCTGCATCTGCATCTAAAATATATATGATCAAAGAATCTTAATAGGGTATAGGTCTGATATATTGATGGATGTTAAGAATTCTATAGACTACTCACATAACCAATATTTCCGTATTTAAAGGATTTAACCTGTGAGATTAATTTTCAATGCATATTTGACTCAGTTTGATAATACTAGTTTTACATGGCAAACTAAAGGAAAGTAGAAAATGAAACAGAGCGATTACTTAAATGGATTAATTACAACCTTTGTTCTGTCCAGAGGGAGAAACTAGAAAAAGAAATAGAAATTGTCAACATTGAGACATTGAACTAGTTGCAGACTCTTTTACGTATATTCTCAAAGTTGTCAAAGAATATAAGTATTTTGGAACTGGCATAAAAGCAACAACTAAGTTAGGCATTGATGTAAAAATAGGAACTCTGCATGAAACAAAGTGATAAAGCAGCAATTAAATTATTACACAGCAAAGATATAATTATCACATAAAAATGAAATGTCAAATACATAAAATTAATCACAACTTAATATGGCTTATAGAACATTCCTTCCTCTTAACTGTAGATGAAGAATTGTAGATGCAGTGTAGATGGAAGACAATGCGGAACAAAAATATGTTCGAAACTGCAGTTATTAGAATAGGACTTAGGGGAAGGTTATGTCTACAGTGAAATGATCTAATGAGGACATATGTGAAGTAGACGCATCGAAGAAGGAAATTTATATAAAACCGAAATCCGATGGTGAGATTAAAGGATTATTTAAACAAGTTATGTACTTGCTTAAAGGAACTTATCTTTTATTTGTTTTGGACTTGGGGATTTGTGCGCTTTATTAAATAATTTTGAGGCTTTATACATAATATACTTTTTTTTACAGTAGCAATTCTGAGTAGCTCAATGTTTCACTAAAATTACATCCAAACTGATAAAAAATCCCTTGTGACTATAAACCCTAAAAATTTCTAAGAATTCAATGCTTATTTCTTTTTAAAGTTCATCAATCTTTTGTGTGAAATCATTATCAATTCTTTAGGACACATTAAAATCTACTACAGACTTGCAAGACTACTACAGAAAATATATGTATATTTTTATAAAAGAATATGAATAATTTTTTTTTAGAACTCATTGTAAGGTAGCAATGTGATCAGAAGAGACACGATTAATTTATTCTAACAATACTGCTAAATAGTTGACACCAACCAGTTTTTTCTGTAGAAATGTGTTTCGCCTTTCGCTCTTCAATCATTTCACAACTTTTTAAATCGTGTCATCAAAATCTGCTCCAAAAATATTTATTCTAAAAATCGAAACGCTTATCGCAGCGAGGGTCAATGCTGTATTTATGCTAATTTTGAGGCTTATCTATCTCTGCTGCAAATCTAGTTTGATGACTTCCAATGCCTACAAGCGAAGTGACTCTGTGAAGTGTTTTCTTTGGTTGCGCTATGCTATCATTCAAATAAAAAAAATTAATTTAAATAATTAAAATTATTTAAATGACTTCTATATTTTGTTATCACTGCATGGTGTCTTCTATTATCAAACGTTTTGAATTGCATCTACTCAATAATAAATACGAGTGATTTTCCTCATTGATAAGACTTTTGCAAAAATATTTTTTACGACCTTTTCAGCAAAATATCAATCCTAATACTGGTTTCTGTGAGTTGCAGTCTGTGAGGTTAGAGTTTAATAAAGAAGCATTTAATGGGTGATATGAATCAATATAAATAAATGAGATTAACATATTTTTAATATACGTGTCGTATTTAATTAATACGAAGTCAAAAAATTGTTTTTATATTCCCTAATGATTATTTGATATGGATAGTTCTTTTTGATATTTAAAAACCTATTTTAATAACTTTTCTATGTCGTACACTAATTCGCCGTTACAATCTAATTTTAAATGCTTATCCATTTCACAGTCATAATTTGGCAGCACTGTGGCAGAGATATATATAAAATAATACTAACATTTAAAGCATTAAATGCTTAGTTTTAGGTTGGCTATTTTACTAATTCATCTAATTAGGTGCCTAACTGGCAAAGTTTGCATCATAATTTTTCACATCGAATTTCCTTTAGTGATAAAAATTATTACAAACAAAAATATCTCATATAGAACCTTAAAAATTCGTAAATAACTGTCGTTTTACGACAGTCACCAAAAAAAATCAACGTAAGCAATTTTGTGGCAAATCGTTTGAAGGTATGATAAGCCCAATTTTTACATTTTTTTTTGAGGATAACGAAGTTGTGATACAGAACGCAACTTCTATTAAGTGTTCTCTATTAAGTGTAACAAATATGTGGAAGATATTTGTTACACAATACGTTCTTCATCTTCATACCCATAATTGCTACCTGTAATTAGAGAGACCACCTATTAAGTGTATCTGATGTTTTGAATAGATCTGGTGTTGATATAGGTATTTGTTTGGCGTCAGTATCTTAATAACAGTATCTTTTTTCAACTATCTAGGCAATTCATAAATAAGCAAAGCACTATCTAAATTCAACAAGAATAACACACACACAGCCTTTGACGGGGTAGTATTTGGAACGACCTATACATATTTAAATATTTCAGGATTTAGTAAACAAAATGTGGGATTATAGCCCACGATTTAAAAGTCTGTCTGGGTTACTGTCAATCTGCACCTTTCCGTGGCTCTCCCTGTTACCAATGAAATGACGCTCTGACGACCGAGTATGTGGCGGTATATCTACGCCCTACAATTTCCTATCTAAAGGAAATATCAGTAGCATCGTCGTTGACCTGGCGAGTTCCAGAGCCAGCTATCAGATCTAAATCGAAATGAAGATAGCACCCCTACCACCGGACTAAGCAAATAAGAGCTAATAAAACATATTTCGCCGTAAAAAGATCTACTATTCGAGTATCTACAAAAAATGAAAACAAAAATCGGATAACTAACAATGGAAATACGTTGACTCCTATAAGCAATCGCAGGACTAGATTCGTAAAATAGAACGTTCGTACTTTGTGTCAGACCGGTCAATTTGCTCAACTTGCTGCAGAGTGCGATAGATTCAGAATTGATACAGTAGGACTCAGTGAAGTCCGATGGATTGGAAATGGAGAGCACCGCAACAACAAAAGGATACTTCTTATCTATTCAGGCATGCCTACTGAAGCCGACCCACACTATAGAGATGTTGGTATATACCTATTAAAAACAATTGCGAATTTATTTTTATCATGAGAAGTTATCTCAGAAAGAATTTTAACTGCCCGGACGATGTAAAATATCATAAAATAACCATCGTGCCAGAAGACAACGAACTAGTGGTCAAAGAAAACTTTTACAGTCAGCTAGACCACACACTGACTATGGTTCAAAACAACAATATTTCAAAACTCAATTAGGCCCAGATAAACCACATTTTTAAAGAGTTTTAGGGAAGCACGCAATAGGACCCAAATCGAAAAACGGAGAATTGCTTTTGGAGCTGTGCAATAATCATAACCTGAGAATTGGCAGTTCAGCATTCTCTTATAAGATAAACCATAAAACTAGTTTCTACATCGCCGACTAGCGATGTAGAAACTCAAATTGATCACATATGCGTGTCAAGAAAGTTCTTTAACATTGTTTGCGATGTACGCAGTAAGCGTAACGCTGACATTGGAAGCGACCACCATCTAATTATCGCTGTAATTTCATTAAACTTTTCCCAGATACAAGAAAATATCTCGGAAGCATGTCTGCGTCGTATTGTTGGCATTTGGTGGCCGCGTACTAAATCTAATGAACGTTTATGGCAAATGCCAAATCAAAAACCGATCGAGAAAGAGATAATGCGCAGAAAGTACAATAGATCGGATATACTTTTCGTTAAAACTCTGATGAAATAGCGCCTTTAACTTTACAGAAGCAAAGGTCGGATTATAATGACTTGGCGCAGATGCATCAACAAAGAAATCAAAAAATCTTTTAGTGAATTAAAATACATTGCTAGAAATCACGATATGTACATAGAAATCTTATGTAGTTAGACTAAGTTCTTAGTTACTTCCTGTAATTATAAGGTCCATATTTGTCCAAAATTTATTGCGAAACTGGAAAAATAAAAAATAAATTAAAATGACTCTTTTTGAATATATAACTGTTACGTTACATTAATAGTAATATAGCGGTCAAAAAAAGTATTCGTAATTAACGAAATTTTTGTGAAATGTTATAATAACAACAAAACGAAACAAAAAAATTGATATAAAAAATAATGCAGTTTTCAACTTTTGTATTCTGTTTATTTGTTTTTGTTGTTTGCACTCCAAAAATTTAAAAATAAAATAACAAAAAAAGCAATTCTATCGCGGAACACCAAAAATAAAGCAAAGAGTGGCCCATTTTTTTTATTTTCTATGAAGAAGTTAAAGTATTTGTAATTTAACGTTATAGAAATGACTTAAGTTAAAAAAAATTGGGGAAATAGTAAATACACCAAGAACTACATTCAATCTATAATTAAAAAATGTAAAGAAACAAAATCGGTCGAAACAATCAAAGATCCGACCGACCTAAAGCACTTTCCAAAGCGAATGAGCGGTGGTTAGTACGCCAAATTCAAAAAAATCTCAAAACAAAATCTCAAAAAAATTTTTTTGTAATAACGTTTAGTAATATTTGGGAAAAGACTATTCGAAATTCACTTAAAATTTATGTTTATAGAGGAAAAAGTGTACGAAAGAAACCATGTGTAAACAAAATCAATAGACTCAAAAGGCTACAATCTGCAAACTGTGAGATTTTGCTGATGAGAGTAAATTCAACCTTTTTGGATGCGATGGGAAGGTAATTGTATATCGAAAGCAAAATACGGAGCTGAAAGTACACAATACAGTTGCGACTGTTACACATGGTGGTGGCGATGTTATGATTTAGGGATGTATGGCGGCATCTGGTGTGTGAAATATCAAAGTAATAAGTGGAATGATGGATCATAAGTTATATATCGATATATAAAATTAGAACTTGAGATGAAATGAAGAAAAACTGTGCATTGGGAATAATTTTTTGTTTTATCAGGATAATGATACAAAGCATTTTGCGTTAAACACTAAGCTTTGGTTGTTATATAACTGCCGAAAAGTGATAAAAACATCTCCGAAAAGTTCAGACACAACCTATATAGAACATCTTTCGGGTCATTTGGAGTCCAAATTAAGAAAACACAGCTTTTCAAACAAGCAACAGATGCAACAGATTCTAATGGACGAATGGGCTAATATGGATCCAGCTATGACAGCAAAATTACTTTAATGAATGCCAAAGCCGAATGGACGTATAACAAAATATTAAATTTTAGTTATTGTTAGCAAAACTGCAATCTGTTGCTTAAATTACGAATACTTTTTTGCTCTATTTTTGGTGTTCCGCAATAGAATAGCTTTTCTTGTTATTTTATTTTTAAATTTTTGGAGTACAAACAAAAAAAACAAATAAACAGAATACAACTGTTGAAAATTGCATTATTTATTTGTTTCATTTTTGTTTTTCTTTTTGTTGTTATTACAACATTTCACAAAAATTTATTTAATGCCGAATACTTTTTTTGACCGCAGTATACGTAATTAAAATGCGTATAATTGATTTTATAGCGCGAGTGGCAAACGAAAGTTGCTGGCAACACTCTCGATTATGAGATAAAACTAACAGAAAAAGCCACTAATAAACCTGAATTAAAAGTATCCATTTGGGATTTATTTGAAGATTTGTATCATCAAATTTATGTTAAATACATCATTATGTGTCATAATAAAGACATACTTGACTTCAGAAAGTTTTCGAAAACATAAATATTTTGTGTGAGCAACATTTCAATTCCTCATATTCTTCTGATTTCATTTAGTGCAACTTTCAAAAAATTCCAATAAGTTTCCGGAAGGAAGGAAGCCCTTTTGTGAACAAATCATCCAAAAAGCTTGGACCAACATCCTTAAGGATAACTTTCCCAACGATTTAGATTACTCATTCCTCATATTTTTAAGGACTGCCCATAGTTTTTTTAAAGTTGTCCCAATTTTTGATTACATATAAAAGACTCTTAGTTACTTTGAAATGAAATTTATTTGTCTGTACAAGTACATGAAGCTAGGTTATTTATAAATATTTTATCAAAGAAGTAAATAAACTTATGTTTTGTAATCTATTTGCATCGAATAGAGAATATTTATGACTATTTATAACAGCTTTAATGACAAAGTAAGAATTTTTCTAAGACGCCAGCCATACACTCAATCAGATAAAAGTCCAAATTTAAAAAGTTCCTCTGTCAATTGAATCCCTACAATGAATTTTATAGTTACAGAATTTAAACTCAGTTCTCGTCTTTGAGTTTTTGGCTTAAAGCACAGACATTTTCATTGAATTAATTAAAAAAAAATTTTAAATTTTAACTGAGTTATTATAAATTAACATTTTTTTAATTTCAATTTTCAAAGTTTTTTCGTGCTTTTGGGACAGGGCTGAGAGCACACTCCAAAAAGGACCGCAATAAATGAAGCAATTTGATATTTTACCGAAAATACGAGTCCTTGTCAAAATACAATATAAGCTCGTTGTAGGCAAAATAGCCTCAAGTGAGATTTGTTTTTACTTTTATAAAAGCTGGTCTATATTTGCATATGGAGAATTGGGTGGATGAGGGCGAGAGGTGGATAACTGATTTCACTGAAATAAATCACATAATCAATATATGTTTAAGGGAATATGCACATGTGGCAGTTGTTTGTATATTCAGCTACTCACCCATGAGCTCGTCAACGTGTCCCGATACAAACGAAAATTTTTAACTAAAATTTCGTGTGCCAAATTCGGATCCAAAATCAAAATCTCTGGCTTGCGTGTCACAAAAACGCCCACGGCACGATTATTTGATTTATAATTCCTGAAAAGTGCACAAACACTGAACTTATTGCTTTATACAAGCGCACATATATATGTATGTATAATCACTATATATTATTGTAATTATTGTAAATATTGTATTTTGAAACTAAACAAGATATTTTCGAAAATGAAGACTTACAAATATACGTCATGGATGTCGTAAACCATGTTCCGCTTGCGTGTCATAATGCTGGGATATGTGCCCAAAAATGTTAGGGGCTTTGCGATGCGTAAGCTACTTTTTTGCCAGTATTTAAAATTCCATGTTAAGTAAATGTAGAGTGATCCCAGGGAGGTGGCTACAGCTAGTAATGAATAGAAAATTAATTCGACGAACATTCTTTTCAAACCCGCGCTCTCGACGTGACAAGCAGAACTACACACGCGTTCACTGCTTCGGGTGCGGCATGCCCGACGTTAATCACTAAATAAACTTTTCGCTTTGTTTATTGTCTTTTTCTTCTCTCTACGATCCGGGCACCGTTTCAACCCGAAGTGATAACAAAATTTTTAGATGATTTTTCACAAAAATTCATTAAAAATAAATTTGTTCTTAGCATCTACGAAAAATTATTTCAATTATAACGAATTATAGATGACGAGCCAAAAAGACTAAAATTTATTAAAGTGGCAATTATTCCACTTGCAGGAATTCAATCCTAACAATTTGCAGATCCTGAATCAAGTATTTGTTGCATACGATTTTGATAAGTAGAACAAATTGTTGGATTAAAACAAATTGCGTTGATGTTGATAAAGGAAAGATTTCTAAAATATCTCTAAGATTTTAAGAAAAGATTGCAGTGTTTATAATATTAATAGTATTCAATATATTTAAGTTTTGGGAATACTTTTTTTCGCTCAGTCTTCTTTTCATTCTTCTTCTTTTTTTCATGCAGATATCCTTATATTTCGCATTTATTATAGCTTCAGTATTCACATTTCTCCTACGTTGGAAATTCCTAAATTAGCAAATTTAGGTATTTCATCCATACTTAATATTAATAATCTTCTCAAATCAAGATTTTTAAAATCAGAAAATTTTTTAATAAAGATCTTTAACAATTATAGCATGTGATGGTATCTCTTCTGTTTTTTCTAATTTTCGTTGAGATTAGTTTAATTTTTTTTAAGCTTCGACTTATTACTGTATTTGGAGTTTCATTTTTTGAAGAGATTGGTATCGGTATCTTATATTGTAATCAGAAAAGTTTAGACTTTTATATAAAATTCACTGGAAGAGACACATAATATAATCTTTACTTTCATGATTTTAATATAAACACCAAGAAATATCAAAAAAAACAGTTTGAATATTATGTTCTTAAAAGTAGAAGAATACTACTACTTTTTAGTAGTAGTATAAGAATTCCTCACTCTTTCTATGGAATATATGTATTCTTAAGGTAGCGAAAGTTGTGAACTTCTTTAAAAAACCCCAAATCTTCTAACATTGATTTAACAAGACCAAAGAAAATATCCTTAGCGATTATAATCCACTTAAGCGTATTTATAAAATGAAAAGTAATGGCTTTCCAAATAATTTATTTTTTGGATCATATACTTAGTATTGCACATAAAATAGAGTAATACACTAAAGAATATTGCTACGGAATTTTAATTGAAATATTCTTCTGTAGAAGTTATTCAGAATTATTGGGTCTTATTTAAAAACCAGTAATTAGCGTGTTTAATAGAGTACAAGTCCTTCCGAGCACTGCCGAACTACCATGCAAACAGTTTCGGCAATTGCGATGGAGTACTATTGCTCAGTTGCAAAGTGTTTCTATCAGGTTAGTAGAAAACATTTGTCTTCCACGCAAAGTCAGGAACTAAGTTATACTTCTAGTTGAATATTTTCGCCAGTGTAGAGGTAATGGTAGCAATAATCAAATAAGTATCCAACAGTAAATCAATTTTACTAAGGGCATAATACCATGCCTTCTTACTATACTCTCTAGTAGTAGAGGAATTCCATACTCTCTCTATAAAATATATGTATTTTTAAGATAGTAAAAATAAAAGAAGATCAATTCTTCTGAATTCTTTAAAAAACCCTAAAACGTTTGATTTTGATAACAAGATAAAGTAATAATAATAATAAAACAAGAGCAAGTAATAATTAATCAATCAATGAGACCTTATGCATTGCTTATGAAGCTAGTGTTTATTAAAATTATTTAAAAATAGTCAAATCAAAAAATTATTTCAAAACTGAAACTGCACATGTATTTTCTATATTATTTTTATAATAACTATATAACTGTTTTAATAGCTAATACTGAGTGATTCTGGCTAAATGGTGGGTTCTTGATCTATATTTTTAACACGTTTAGGATACTATTCGCTTCCACTACTTTGTTCACATATGAATACATAATTAAATTTTCTACTTTTTTTTGTTTTTGCAATGATTTAATGATAATCTGTATTGTAAAGAAAATAGCGCATCCCAGTTTCGTTATGATCAACCACAAGTTTTAAATGCTGATAAAAACTTAATACTACGTTAATTATAAATACAAATCAAATATTTAATTAGCATCGAAAATAGATTATCGTTATTACTCAAAAGCTAAAAATATTGTAATTATGAAAGTCATAATAAAAAACAGTAATGGTTGTTGTTCACCTATAGCAGCCCTCCCCTGTTATTGCAATTTTAATGAGTCCTAAGCTGAATACAAAATGTTAATATAATTCGGACAAACGTCAAATACATTTTTTTTGCTTTTTTATTTTAATTTTGTTTAGTGACAAAAACTGCGAATATTTCGGATATTTAAGAAAACAATTGTAGGATCCTTAAATGATTATTGCCGAAGGGTTTTGGTGAAAAGCGTCTCAAGTGCAGAAAGAATTTCGTGCTTGATTGAACTTCGACTGTTTCCGGTGATGGAACAATTTTCTTTTAATTTTAATTTTAATTTTATGTTTTTTTATATTTCAAGATAAAATAAATAATTTTAAAAAAGGTTGCTTTTACCCTAATACTTCATTTAAAGTTTTTTTATTAGTTTTTACTCTATTTTATGAGGGTTCAAATCCACATGATAGCTTCTCAAGCATTTGCGTCTTTTGTTGGGTTTTTTTTAGAAATTCGCCTCTTCATATTATATATTTATACTTGTAATATTAATAATGTTTAAATATTAATTTTATTTTTCATTGATTTTGTATTTCGAATTTTGTGTTTCATCTGCGAAAGCATTTCCCATGCCTCCCTGTTACGCGTACCGGAAAAAAAGTTTTCACCTTGAATATCAACGACGGAGGAGGGGTTATCGTGCCGCATACGACATTGATGTGGGTATTTACAAGTATTTCCGTTTCCCATAAATAAGGTTAAGTGAAGCATATCAAGGCTGCTTAAAGATAATGTTGAAACGTATACATTACGTTTCTAAATGGAATTTTTTATCAATCCAATTGCCTAAAATGGCATAAATTTCAACGAGTAAATCTACGAAACGAACTTTTCTACTTTCATAGAATTCCGTGTGATATATAATGATATTATTCTACCATATATGTTCATACATAAATATTTTGTATATGTACATGTTAAAACGAATATCTTATGTATAGTTTTAAAAATACATGTGAGTTCACTTATTTTTTATATATCCGTGTGTGTGCTTAATATTTTCTTTGATATTTTCTTACATTTGAGAGGTTTGAACCCCTGAATTTTTATTTATTTACTGGTTTTAATTCGATGCAATTTTTATTTTTCCAATTCTTTTCATTCCATGTCTTGTAAACTGTAATGTAAAAGCGCCTTAAGTACTCTGAACTTATAATTTCCATTATTTTTATTAAGTAATTTCAAGTTTAAAAAGAATATAAGAAATTGAAGTTCAGAACGTTATATTTGTTTAAAGTTATAAGAACATAAGTTTTACATGAAAGTCGATTTTCATAAAACGCTGTTCTAAGCAAGGATCTGTTATCTAAGCATTCATCTGTTTGTAGATAAATGCAGCTCAATATAAACTCAATATAAAATATATAAGCACATTTTGATATAAAATCAACTGAATAGCAGCTGGACTTTTCGTTAATTGGATTTTAAAAATCCATAAGTGTAACAAACAGTAGCATTTTTGGTAGAACAATATCGAAAACTTGTGAGAAATAAAATAACAACATTCACAAAACATATCCCAATGTAGAGTATTGGGATATTATAACCATCCCAATTGATTAGCAACTGCCTTTAAAGGAAGTAAGTGTACTAAATAAACCAATTATTTTGTGATGCTTAAATAGCTTGCTTTTTACCGACAAATTGACAATTGCAGTCTTTCAGACAAACAGAGTGGCAGTTTATTATGCAGCAAAATGGGTCCTGATCCATGCAGTTTTAATCTTCTCAGACAGCCAAGCGTACATAAAGATTTGTGAAGGTATATCTTATTAATTATTTTTATAAACTTCTATTAAAATACAAATAGGACATTACGCCAGTTCGTGAACACCTTTTTTGTATTATTGTCTTTAACGATATTGCTCAATACCCTTTCAACATCAGCAATGACTCGACTGTAGCGATTTAATGTTGGGTATAACTAAGAAAATAAATAGCAATTTAAACTGTACTGCATGTCCTCTAATAATATATATGAAGGATATGCAGTACGCATAATATTAGCACATGTGCATTGTGTATCCTAAAATGAAGTACAGGATGCTAACAATGCGTAACGGGCGCACTCAGATAAGATGTGAGCTCTTTCACTAAGTATACACATTATCACTTAATATAAGTAATTAAAATCGATTAAGAAACTCTGTCATACAATAATTAAAACTTGATTAAGAAGTGGCTTATGCATGTGCATATAGTCGTAAATATATAAATTAATTTTGAAAGGAGGTTGTTTGGTTTTAATTATACTCTCTCTCTCTCTGTTCAGATTTAGAGAAACTGAAAGATATTTTATTTTTACAAAATATTATTGTGGGTTCTTGCAAAGGCTTGAATATTTTCTATACCGCAGTGCGATTTGCGTTGGTATACAGTGATCTTGAATAATATTTTTATATTGTTAATATTACTTACTAAATTATTATGTTAATATGTAATATGTAATGAACATGTAATTCATATTTGGAGTATATATTAAAAATATATATAGGACAAATAATTTATTTTCAAAAAATACATTTAACTTAATTAAATTCATTGAAAAAAAGTTATTAAAATAATTTATTGTTTTAATAACTTCTAATTATTATTAAAATTTATTATTTATAAAAAAAGTCTATGCTTGGAGAACTTCATTTACAGAAAAGAGCTCAGTACAAATAAGAGAGAAAAATAAGAGAATATAAAAAAGTCTATGCTTGGACTACTTTGTTTACAGAAAAAAGTTGACTATAAGTAAAAGAAACTATAAACAGCTTAAGTAAAAAATGTTCTAAATATGTATATATAAAAAATAAAAAAATATTAGTTTCCGTAAAAAAACTTTCGTTAC